GGCAAGCGCAAGGTCGTGAGTTCGGTTCCCGGTACCGGAGAAAAACCAAAAAAAAAAAAAAAAAAGATCTCATGATAGACATCAAATCTAAGCACGGTACCTCTCCACCTGGAGACATAGGAACCAAAAGAAAAATTATCCACTCCCAGTCACACACAGAACATATGGTGGTTGGCAGGGGTCAAGCAAAAACTGCCTAAAATATTCCCATCCAGAAAGCAAAAGTGGGAGATGCTTAACAGTCAGAGCCTCAGAGCAATTCTAAAATCCTGTTGGACAGACTTGGGCATGAAGAGTTTTCCTTGGTGAGGTCCTAGTTCTGTTTTCTAGAATTTGCACTTGATTTTTATTGTTTTTTTTGACTCCTGGCCTTGCTTAGTAGGCAATTGATTGGTTCTTTCTCACTCTCCCTTGTATTCACCTGATAAGGGCACTGGGAAATATGCTCTTCTTCAGAACTGTGTAGCTTAGTCTCACATTTGCTTGTGCCTGTAGGCTGGGCAGTCCAAAAATAATTTTAATTTGTTGTTGCTGATTTTCTTTTTGTTTGTGGCATTGGGGATTGAACCCAAGGCCTTCACACTGAGCTACATCCCCAACCTTTTTAAAATTTAATTTAATTTAGTTTAGTTTTGTTTTATTTTATTTTATTTTGAGAAAGGATCTCACTAAGTTGCTCTGTAGTCCAGGCTACCCTAGAATTTGTGATCCTCCTGCCTCAGCCTCTCAGAGTGCTGGGATTATAGACAGGAACCAGCACTCTGGGCTCACTCTAACTTCTGAATACTAGAGTTGTAGTGTCTTTTCATCCAGAGCTGTTGGCTCCTGCTCAGCACAGCTCTCTCAAGATTTTAGTTATATTTTTATCTGACTCCAGTCATTTTATGCCCATTACCACATCCACAATTATTTTGAATTCTAAATCTCTTGGAATATAAAGATGGCTTAACATATGCAAAGGTTTGGACAAGGGACATTTTGTTTGAATAAGCAAGTATTGTCATTTAAGGAATTTGTCAGTTTTCTCTTACTAGTTAGAACATGAGAAATACTTGGCTTCTCTCAACCCCACAAGACCAGGAATCCCTGGACTGTCTTTGTTCCTGGCTTACCAATCAGCCAGTTCTTTCCTGAGTTCATCTCTTTCTTCTAGTACCCTTGAAGATGCTCCAAGATGCAGCTCATTACAGATGCAAATAACTGCAACTGAAGCATGCTATTTCGCAAACTTTTTACTCAGAACCCCAAGCTCAGTCAAAATATCTGTCCTCCAAGTTATCATAGATAGCGGTTTTACCACAAGCTCCCCGTTTCGAGCGTCAGTAACATTTTGTTGCTGTTTCCCACTGCCTGGCCCACGAACCAAGCATCAGATTCTAGAATCTTTGATATGGTATCTGCTTACTGTTATGTACTGATTTCTGTCTTGTTGACTTAGACCAAGGACTAAGCTATGCTGCGGTAGCAAACAGACCCCAAACCTTTATAGCTAATAACAGTAAAGGGTACTTCTTACTCACAATCCTTGTCTTTTAGGGGATAACCGTGTATCTGCTCCACTCTATCTCCACTCTGAGACTGTATTTGGGGCATGTTATTATCCCAGCAAAGGGAAAAGAACAAATGATAGAACTACATAATGACTCTTAAAGCATTTAGTTGCGTATGGTTTATGTGATTTCCACTCATTCATTACTCGCTGAGTATGTGACATATCCAGACCCGATATAAATAGAATGGGAAAGCATAATTGTATCACTGAGAGAGAGAGGATAGAGTGAGAATTCCACACCTCCCCTTCAGCTGCCATTCTTCAGAAACTCAGCCTTGAACTTGGGTTTATCTGATAAGGATATTGGAACAAGACACTTACTTTGATCCTGTGTCAGTCCGTTTTCCATTGTTGTAACAAACTACCTGAGGCTGGATATCTTGTAAAGGAAAGAGAGTCACTTAGCTCATGACTCTGGAGGTGAAAGAGCATGGAGCTGACTTCTGCTGTACGCTGGTGAAGACTTCATGGCAGAGGTCATGACAGTGGGCCAAGTGCTTGCAGAAGAGATGACCCAGGGAAACAGGAGAGCAGGGGTCAGGCTCACTCTTCTCTAAGAGCTCCCATTCGCAAGCACCAAGTGGAGTCCCACAAGAAGTGCCCTAAACCCTTCCACACACAGGGCCCCCAATGACCCAACCACAGTCCCCTAGATGCCACCTCTTAAAGGTTCTGTTGCCTCCCAACATGCCTAAACTAAGCACCAGGCCTGAACCCTTGGAGGACCAAGCCCCCAAACTCCATACTTCAGACAAGACAGAAAGTACTGGTTTCTTGGAAGATGATAACATTTTGAGAAACATATGCATTGTCTGTAGTGTGACACAACTCTGAAGTCCATGAGATGTGGAGGGTTGACAGCAGATGGCTGGATGAGTAGAAAACCAAACGAGCAGGTGGCATTTTCGTTCCAAGAGTCTAAATTGAGGGGGCTATGTTCCACTCACTGTATTCCCAATACGTCCCCACAAGTTCGAAAATATGCTCCTAGCTAAACAGGACGGAAAACTGCTCATCTGATATCCTGAAAAGCTGAGATTAGTTTCCCAAGGGACGCTCTAGGCCTTGCTGGTCATGCCCGAGCTGTGTTCACACCCCTGTGCCTGTGGTCATCTCACTGTTCTTTGTCTCCACAGTTCGACATGCAGAGGATAACTCTGGAAGAGCTGAAGCACATTCTCTACCACGCCTTCCGGGATCACTTAACAATGAAGGACATTGAGAACATCATCATCAACGAGGAGGAGAGCCTGAATGAGACCTCGGGGAACTGCCAAACGGAGTTCGAAGGAGGTAGGTGCCCCTGCGTCCTGGGCAGGGACAGGCCTGGGCCTCGCTTGGCTCAGATGAAAAGTGTGTGCACAGTCTCCTGCGAGGAAGCAGGCATGCACTAAAGCCAGAAATTCAGGACTGAGTTCAAAGGTCTGTTCTGCAAATATTCAGTGGATTTTTTTATTCTGTTTTTGAAAAATTTTTCTCATACTCTGCATTTTTGCAGAATTCCCACTGACCCTGAACTTCCTGTAATGACTCCAGGGTTTGAGGTTGGTGGTGACCTTCGCCTACACTCGGCAGAGGTGGAGGCTGGCTGCATGGGGTGGTGGCAGTCAGTAAGGCTTGTGAGGCTGTCAGTAAACCTGGACCAGTCCACTGGCTAATTGTGTGACCTTAGCCGAGGGGTGGGCCTTCTCTATGTGTCCTCATCTATAAACATCAGGATAGTTACACCGATGCCACCGGCTCTTTGGGAATGGATAACCTCTGTCCTCTGACTGCACAGACTGGAAAGGGCCCAGGGATGAAGTCCTTTCTTGAACTTAACCAAGTCGTTACAGGAGAGAAATAAGTTCCTATTGGGGTCAAAAAAGAGACCCACGAAAGGTCACTTTTCTTGGGCATATGAAAGAAAACTAAGGGGAAAAAAAGCCTACCTTATTTCCTAGGAAGCTAGGTAATCTAATCCTCCCCAACTTTGAGTCAGAGCCAGCCAGCTCCGATGAACAGGGGAAATGTTTGTGTTGTTTTTTTTTTTTTTTTCATAATTACATTAAAACAACATAGCAAGCTGTAGGCGATTTTTATCCCAGTTCAATGCTGAGACTTCTTACTGAGGTAAAACTATTTGTCTTTTCCTTTTTATGAAGAATTAAACAGGTCAGTAGACACAGTGGATACATGGTCCCACAGAGAGCAGATGGCATTTGTTCACCTGGTCCTCAACTGCTGCATGAGACCCAGCCAAGCGCCCTGGCAGGGAGGCAGCTAAGGGCTGAGCTCGTCCAGGGGCCACTGCTGCTCACTCAAACCAGGGCTCCTGTGGGACCAACTTGGGCCAGACAGTGACTGCATCAGTGCCACAATGAAAGACCACAAAAGAGAAAAACAAGAGATGCCTTCTACTCCTAGGTTACAGACCAAGTCAGCTCAAATGCGTCAGTAGGGATCGGTGGTCAATGAGGCAAAGTGAAAGAACTATGCCCTTTCTAAAGGCATTCAGGCTTAAACCCTTCAAAATCCTGTGACATCAAAGGAAACCCAGTTGTGTTCTAGAAGCTGCCTTGCTGGGGCACCTGGGCTCCAGCAGCCGTGGCTATGTTTGGAGTTGAAGCCACACATCCTGCAAGGGCAGGGTCAGATTGTCACGAGCAACACCATTTGTGGCAAGGAGGGAGTGCATTCAGGGAGCACAGGACTGGGGGGTGAAGAGGGCAGGGCTTAGATGAAACCATGGGAAGGCACCAGGCCTGGCCTCCCCGTTCTGGAGAGAACACTGCTCCTGTATCCCGAGCATGTGGGGCGCTATCTACTCCCCACAGTCTACCAACGCCCCTGAGATGGAAAGACGGGGTTTCATGGGCATCTCGTTTTCCACAAGAGCCTTCCTTTGTGGGTTAGTGTTTCCTTCAGAGAAATGTCACATGTCTTAGTAATCTGGGAAAGGTCACACTACACAGGAAAGCAATCTAAATTCCAAGTGGTGCCTTTTTATTACTCAAAAAGTCATATATTAATAAAATACGTGCCTGACAAAGGGACTTCCAGACAGAAGTCTTAGTAGATCTGCTTCGCTGGTTCATTCTATGACAATGGCGGCAGCTGCCATTTGGGGGGTACACGGTAAGTGGCAAAAGTCATTTTCTTATTCAGGAAAAGAAACATTATTTTGTAATTAGCACATTAATTTTTTGCATGATCACTTTTGTATATTTTCATGTCAGAGAAATGTTTTATTTAATCTCAATTAATTATATTTATTTAATTTTTATCAGTATACATTTGGAATACACAATATATACAGTATTGGGGGATATATATATTCCCCCTCTGTCTTTTTTTCCCCTGATCCCCTTCCCCTACTCCAACAAAATCAGCCTTTATTTTACTCTTTAAATAATTTGTAACTGGGTTTCTCCTACAAAAGAAACCATGCAATATTTAACTTTCTGTGTCTGACTTACTCCATTAATGTTATGGTCTCAAGAGCCATCTATTTTCTTAAAAATGACGAATTCATCCTTCTTTATAATGTCAGAGAAGTTTTCAAAAGAAAGCATTATGTCAGCACAGTTTGGACCCACCCACAAACTCTTGGGCTCATGTTTAGGTTTAAGATAACTGCTGTTCTTGGATATGATCGACATGATAGGTGCCGCAGCCCCCTCCGCATTTGAGAAAGGACATTCAGGTGGTGTTCTGGGCAGAGCTATCCAGGAAGGGATGACTACCCAGTCCTGCCCCTGGCGCAGTCCTGTCCTGTCCTGTGGCTGAGGACAGAAGGAGCCCTGCAAGACCTTGTGCCTGACATCACAGCCATCTTGCAGGGACCTTCTAGGGACTGGAACCTGCCGCTTCCCAAACCCAACCTAATTGCAGTTGCACCACCCTTGCCTCCTGAATCCCCTCCCCTGCCCCAGGTATCAACTCCCTCCCCTTGCCCAAGTCATCAACCCATCCTCCCTCTTACCCCCTTTCCAAGCTGCAGGCCACATCCTCCGCTCTGGCCATGCCCTGTGCCACACACACCTTCTCTGCCTTCTTTACTCCAAGTCTTCACAAATTCAGCATCTGACTCTGAAGGGACAGGCACCTGTCTTTATGGTTTTCAAGCATGAAACTCTTTTCTCTTCAAATCAAACCCTCCCAAACCCGGATAACTACAGAGAGGGAAGAGGGTAGGCAAGACTTTCCCCAGCCCCGGGGGAGCCTACCCCCCAGGCCTCCTGGGCTGTCCTTACAGCTCCCCAGAGCAAGTGCAGAACCTCAGCTGGAAGCTCAGCGCTCCCACCTGGGCTCAGTGCTTGCTGGGCCTGCCCTCTTCGGCAGGATAGAGAGAAAGGACTCAGTGAGGAGCCAGAGCCTCGGGTGGTCTTTTCCATCAGACTCTGAGCCAGGACAAAAGAGATGGATAGACAAGTAGACAATCTGTGGCAGAGTGGTAAGTTAAAGAGGCTCACATCAAAGGGCTCTGAGCTCTGCAAAGGTGGAGTCAGGGTGGAGATCTGGGAAAGGCGCGAAAACACTGGCAGGGACAGTGCCTGTGACATGGACTCAGTGATAAATTAACTTCCAGGTGTGGTGGCATGTGCCTGTCATTCTGGCACTTCAGGAGGCAGAAGCAGGAGGATCCCTAGTTCAGGTACCACCTAAGCAAATCAGAAATACTTTGTCTCCCAAAACTTTTTTTTAATTTTTGAAAAGGGCTGGGGATGTAGCTCAGCGCAAAGGAGCTGGGTTCAATCCCTAGTACCTAAGGGATGGGATCAGGAGGGAGGAAAGGGAGAGGAGGGGAAGGGTGAGGGGAGGAAGGCAGGGGAGGACTTGCAGATGCCCTTGGCATATTTTAAGTCAATGATTTCAATGATTGCATTTTTCATTTTTCTAAATCTTGAGTCTGATACTTTTGCTCAAATTAATTGTTTAGCTTCTGCTCGCAAAGTTGGGAAACATCCAATATTCCTTCTACACGAATGGAGGAAGAAAGAAAGAGGAATAAAACAGACCAGGAGCCCACTGGCTATGGTACTTTTGATGGGAAGCATTTTGTTTTAGGGCTCACCTTTTAGTTTTGGTTTTGGTTTGAATTTGTTGTCCTTGTTTTGCTTTTAGGTAAACACATACACACATGCACACTCTCACACGGCCCCTTACACATTCCCTCGCCTTTGCGTGGCTTTTCCAGAGATCCATACGAAGGCAGGGAAGAGATCAACAGAACCTAAACCAGGGTTCTGCCCTGGCCCTTGCTCTCATTCCCACCTGGGAGGCGGGTGGGAAATCCTTCAGACTGAATCAGGGGCCGACGCTGTGCTGGCTATAGGTTCACTCCACTGAGCCCAGGCACTCTGGTACCACCTCAGAGTTAGAAACCTGTATGTCCCCAGTCCAGTGAGAATACATGCTTAAAAGGCACCAGTCAGCCATAAAGGATAAATCTGGGTCATTTGTAGGAAGATGGATGTATCTTGAGCCCATATTGCTAAGTGAAATAAACCAGATACAGTTAAATATCATATGGTTTTTCTTATTGAAAAACCCAAAGTATAAATAATTTAGAAAGCAAAATAAAGGTAGATGATAGAAAACAGAAAGGAGGCCTTGTGGATGTGGGAAGGGGGTCTGGGGATGGAAAGAGACGAGAGGGAGGGGCGAAGGGGAAGTAAAGAGGCTCACAATGCATTGTGTATATGTACTGATTCCCCGCCATGGATATATTCACTAGGTACCACAAGCATATACTAATGAAAATTGTTTAATATAAGTTTGACTCTCAGGAACTTCCAGCCCCTCAGATCTTTCTGAATTTTTTAAAGATGGATTATGTTCAGTGTACTTCAACGTTCGTTGCAAATCTTTATGTCCTACTGTTTGGAAAATTAAGGTAGCGTCTACCAGAATGTGTTGGGCACTAGCGCATGTGTCTACCCCAATACCCACTCACCACCCATGTTCAGTAAAAGAGTTTTAACACCTCTTTCAGTCACCAGATATTTTGTTTTTGGAGAACATAAGTTCAATGACGCTGGCAGGCAAATTTGTACTTTATTATTTGGTTCTAGCTGCTGGTATATATGGACTTCAGTGGCCATGTGGTTGAACCATCCATCCATCTGTTCCTGGATCCCTATTAAGTGTCCTTATGACAGAATGTACTATACATTAAGTTTGGGAGTGCTGGCTTCAGATGTGGCTTCTGCTTGTTCCTTACAGTCCAGGAGGAAAAGGCTAGAAAAACTGGCCAGCACGCCTGTCAGAGCTGGTTATTTGTTAACACCTCAGCCCTTCTTCTCTTTCTC